GTGTGTGTGTGTGTGTGTGTGTGTGTGTGTGTGTGTGTGTGTGTGTGACTGTCCCAGCACCTCACCCCTCCGATGGTGAGAAACCTTCTCAGTCCCAGCCTCAATTTGTTCCTGGCCAGTTTATCCCCATTAGCTCTTGTGCCCACAGTGCCCTTTAGCTTAAAAGCTCTTCACCCCCCCCCCTGGTGTTTACTCCTCCCTCCAGATGTATTTACCGAGAACAGTCAGCTGCCCACTCCGCCTCCTTGCTAGCCAAGCTCTTCCAGGCACCTCTCCTACGCTAGGCCCTCCAGTCCCCAGCCGCGTCACCCATCACCACCCTCCACGCCACCCATCCCGCCTGGGCCACCCTCCCTGACCCGATCCGTACAGCCGCCACCATCCCCTCCTCCGAGCCCCTCTCCAGACACACCCGTGCCCCACAGCCCATGGCAACATGCTGGCTGAGGAGAGGCAGCTATGGGGCATTTGCTCCGCAGGCTTTTCCCGCAGGAGCAGTGACCGATGGCCACTCCACTCCTTCCTGCCCAATACAGAGGGTCAGCCGTTAGCTGGGGGCAGAGAGGGGGAAGCATTTGGGGGTCTGATCCAAAGGCCATGGGAGTCTTTCCACCGGCTCCAACAGGCACTGGATTGGGCCCTTGGCACATGACTCCCGGGCATCACCATCCTACCTGAGGCTTTGTAGAGCTCTTTGAGCGTCCCTTGCGGCTGCTCGATCTGGTGGACGGTCAGATCCACCGTCCCGCCGCCGCAGTCAGCCACGATGTAACGGTCCCCTGGAAGAAAATAACAACAGCCTCCCCTAGCTCTCATCATCCATGGCTCTCAACCCAGGCCGGTCTCACGGCCCCCATTTTGCAGGTGGGGAAACTGAGGCACGGAGCGGGCAAGTGACCTGCCCAAGGTCGCCAAGCAGACCAGTGGGAGAGCCAGGCACAGAACTCAGGTGTCCTGAGTCGCAGACCAGCGAGGCAGAAGAACTGTGCTCGTACAGACACCGGGTCCTGAGAGCCTGCCCCCTCCTTTCTGCCATGTGACATGGGGGGGGGGCAGACCTGATGCAGCCAAGTGCCGGTCCCCCATCCCTCACCCATGCCCCTCACTCTCTGCCTCTGCACAGTTGCAAAGCTCGGGACTGAGGGCCAGAGCAGGGCAGGATGCGGCTGAGAGGCGAACCTAACCCGGGGGCGGCAAACTACGGCCCGCGAGTCGGATCCAGCCCGTCAGGTCTTTCAATCCGGCCCGCAGGATCACCAGCCCCGTTGCATCGCGGGGCTAAGGCAGGCTCCCTGCCTGCCCTGGCCCCGCGCCGCTCCTGGAAGTGGCCAGCACCACGTCCCTGCGGCCCCTGGGAGGGCGGGAGGGAGGCAGGGGGCTTTGTGCGCTGCCCTCGCCTGAAGGCACCGCCCCCCACAGCTCCCATTGGCTGGCAGCGCAGCGATAAGGGTGGCAATACTGGGACCCCTCACACACAACAGCCTTGCCACCCCTCCTCCCATGACCTCCTTTTGGGCCGGGACCCCTCGGTTACAACACCGCGACATTTCAGATTTAAATATCTGAAACCGTGAAATTTCAGATTTTAAAAATCCTCTGACTGTGAAATTGACCCAAATGGGCCGTGAATTTGGCAGGACCCTAACAAGGAGCCTTGAGCGGAGCCTGTAGCGGCCACGGTCTGTGCTGCTAATTCCTGCTGAGAACCACCGTGGGACCCGGGCAAAGCGCCTGCCCCGGATGGTCTGAGCAAATGCCAGGGCTGCCGTCCTGCTTTGCTCCCGCCAGGCTGAGCTGTTTGCTGCATTAGAGCCTGATCCTGGACCTCGCCCAGCCAATGGGCCCGATTCTCCCTGACAGCCGTGAGCCGCCAATGGAGCCAAGGGGCAGGTCACACGGGGACATGACTCATGCCTGCAGGACTGGGCCCCCCGTGCGCCACTTTCCCGCCGGCTGCGGGGGGCTCCGAGCTCGCCCGTTACGTCCACCTGGCTGCTGCTTGTAGCCTGCGCTGCCGAGCCCCAGACCGCTCCCTCCAAGCCAGGGGTTTCCCCCCACGCTCCCCCCGTGCGCCGCTTCTCGGCCTGACCCTGCCCCCCTCCCCTGCGCACAGGCCAGGCGGGGAGCTTGGAAGGGACCGCAGAAACACAGAGCACCGTTGCCACCAGCCAGTGACCGCTCCCTCCCCACAGGCCCCTGACGGTTAATCCTCACTGAATCCGGCAACCCAAAAAACAACCCCCAACGCTCCAGCCCAGGGACGGCCAAAACCTCCCTCCGGAGCGAAGTCAGCTTCCTGCAAGCCGGCCAGATGCTTGGTAAGGAGCGATTTCCTGCCGGCAGCAAGCTGACCTCAGCCCTTCCTCCCGAATTTCTCCAGAGCAAGGGAAATCGCTAAGCCCCTGGACGGGGCTCGCCAGGCAGGAAGGCTGTTGAAGAGAGCAGGCTTGGGGGAGGAGCTGGTCCATTCCTGTTGGTAACTGGCATCAAGGGGTCACCTGGGGCCGTGTCCTCATTCCTCGGGCCTGCCTGGGAGCTCAGGGCGGGGTGGGGTGCTGACCTAGTGGTGGGTCTCACAATGCCTGGGAGCCCCCCATGCCACCGGCGGCAGCTGCCGCAGCTTAAAACCTTCTAAAGCAGAACATGAGGGCCCCGGTCCTGCTCTCACCGAAGCCGGGCGCAGCCGAGCGCGAGCTGAGAGCTGAAGATGCCCCCCCCCCCCAGCTTTCCTAGGGGCACGAAGGGAGAGAAGCATGCGGCTGGGGTACTGGATTCTGACCCACTGTGGGACCAAGGGCAAATCTAGCTAAGGTCTTTCTATGGCACTGGTTACAGTAATAGCTGAACACCTCACGTCTTTGATGGATTTAGCTCCCGACGCCCCTGGGAGGCAGGGCAGGGCTGTTATCCCCACTGTACAGATGGGGAAACTGAGGCCAAGAGCAGTGAAATGATTCACAGAAGACATACACTGAGTCATCTGCAGTGCCATCCTGATTACCGGCGGTGTGTTCTGACCACTAGACCGCACTCTCTCCCCGACTCTGGCAAGTCCACTGGAGGCGCTAGGCTTCAGACAGAACAGGCCCAGCAGGTCCAAGCTGGCCACTGTACCCAGCAAGGCGTGACAGTCTGAGCCAATATGGGCTTGGTGGGCACAGCTCAGGCAGGGAGCGTCACAATGCAGCCAACAGGCAGCGCTGCTGGCAGAACCCCTTTCATAAGCACCTGGGTTACAAGGACACATGTCCAGGGACTCCACCGCTCTGAGAGCAGAGGCGCCTGGGGGCTAAACCACAGCACAGGATATTAGCAGGTGTGGGGTCCCAGCTCCGCCTCCCTCTGTGACCCTGGGCAAGTTGCTGCCCCTCATTGTGCCTCAGTTTCCCCAGTTGCGATCTGGGGTTTGGCAAGTGCGCTGCAGAAGAGCAGTGTGGTGCTACTGCTCGTGTTTTCTCCATCCCAGAAGGATTTGGGGCCAGAATCCTCTGCTTGGTTTTCAGGCAGAGCCGTGTGCTAGTTGAGAAACAGGGCGACCCCTGGAAGTTCGGTCCATGTTGTCGCTCATCTCTGGAGGAGAGAGAGCCAGAGAGCCACTGGGTCTCTCTGAAGCCGGCAGCCTGAAGAAAGAATCCCCTTGATATTAGCCCACTTCTGTCTCTTCTCCACTGCAAACCGACCCTGCATTTCCCCCTGCTCTAGCACCTTTCACCAGAGCTCTTTATACACAGCCACAAGCTAGCGTCTGGAAGGGCGGTGGCATTATTCCCATTTTACAGCTGGGGAAACTGAGGCACGGAGCAGGGACGTGACTGGCCCAGGATCACTCCACGGGCTCAGGGCGAGAACCCTTTCCTAGGGCTGTGTTCTACCCACTGGGAACAGCTGGCCCCGAAGGCGCGATGAACCGGAGATCCTGGCAGCTGCACGAAGCGATCCGAGCCGCAGCGCCTGCGTCCCTAGCGCCTCAACCGTGCTACCTAATTAACGATTCCTAACACTCCTCAGCCAGGGACCGCGGCGCGCTCGGCAGCGGCAGGCGCGTGAGCTCCCACCTGACAGCTGGGGAAGCGGGAGCATTGATACTGCAGGGCCAAACGCTGCAGATGCAAACGCCCCTTGAATCCAGATCTAGGGGCCCACATAAATGGCCTGATTTTCTGCTGCGAGCCCAGCAGCTGCCCTGAGAGTCAATAGGATGGATGGGCTCAGCACCTGCCAGCCAGGTCCCTGCCTCCCAAAGGAGCGGGCGGATGCTGGGACCCCCCCGTGCCGAGCAGAGCTGGGCTAGCTGGACTCTCCCCAGCAGCTGGGACACAGCGAGATCCAGGGGCCGTGTCTTAGCAGAGGAAGGGCGCAGCCAAGCCCCCCCTCTCTGAGCAGGGGTGATACCCACCTGCTGCTGGAACCTGGGGCCGCCTCACTGAAACTCCCAGCCGCCCCCATAGGCACGGCCAGCAGGAGGCTGGCCGGAGCGCAGCCTCGGAGAACCCCCTGGGGGCAGAGGGGCAGTGGCATGGGGAAGCAGGGAGCCGAGCCCCTCGGGAGAGGTGCCATCTCCCTCTGCTAGGGGCGCCGGCAGGCCAGCGATGCCTCAGCAGCAGCTGGCAGAGCTCCAAGAACCATCATCACACAGCCCCCAGGGGCGACCGTCAGGGCCTAGGACGCTCTGCGTATCGTGGGCAGGCCGGCTGGGGGTCGAGGAGACCCCAGCTGTTGCCTGAGCTGCTCCACCAGAATCCGACCCTCCTCCAGGGACAGCTGGAGACAGGGCGACCAGGGGAGCGAGCGTTCGTCTCGAGCAGGAGAGAGGCAGCGACTGAGAGAGGCAGCCTAAATGCCGGCGGCGACTGGGGCGGCCGAAGATCCGGCCGCTGCGGTCGCCGCCGAAGAAAATGCCGCCCCCCCAATCCTAGCGCAATAGGTTGCACCGGCCCTGCTCAGGGGATGTCTGCACAGCACCTAGACCCCCCCTGGCGGGGTACGGCAAAGCGCCCTGCAGAACCCTCCGGGCGCTGCGGGACGTTCCTGTGCGGCCAGTAGGGGCGCTGGTGAGTCACACCCCGGCTTGCCGCGCTCTGACGTCCCACGTAGACGAGCCCCCCCGGTGTCAGACCACTGGCTTCAGAGACACTTGGGAAGAGCCCAGGCTGCTCCGTTCATCTGTCTCACCTCGCAAGGTCTTTCCTTGGCGCAAGGGTGACACCTTCCTCTGGTTAGAGCAGTGTGTGTGTTATGGGGGGGAGGGTCTGATTGCCAGGGGGCTGGCCTGGGACTTGGGAGATTTGAGTTCAATCCCCTCCTCTGCCACAGACTCCCTGTGTGACCTGGGGCCAGTCACTTAGTGGCTCTGTGCCTCAGTTTCCCCACGTGTGCAATGGAGATAATCACACGGCCCTGCCTCACAGAGGTGTGTGAGGGTGAGTCCAGTTGGGAAGCGCCCAATACTACGGTGACGAGGGCCATAGAAGGGCCTTAGCCAGAGAGATGGCAGTCAGTTAACAGCGACGTTCAACCCTAAGGGGGGGCTGTGGTTGGCTCTGTGGCCAGGGCGTGGAGGCTGTGCTCATGGGGGTCCTGGATGAGGCGGGATCCCGTCCCCCGAGATGGTGGGCTCTGCTTTCGGCTCATTACGATGGGCCCCACCCACTTCCCGTTCATGAGCAAACGGCCCCTCCTACCTGCCTGCATTTCGGACCACAGCTCGCCTACCCCCGACTCCACCAGGAAGGTCCTGCTGTGCCGGGAACGCCGGAGCTGCTCTCTGGCTGCGAGGAGAAAGCAAAGGGATCGGGTGTGAGAGGGACATGGGGCAATGGGGGGCGGCTGTGAGCCGGACAGGCTGTGTGGAGGTCTGACCTTGACCCACACGCCTGGGACAACGGCTCCAGCGGCTCTGCCCAGCAGCACCGGCACCTCCAGCTTCTGCCCCCGGCCGCCCCTAGCCTCAGCACCGCTACTCCTGCGGCCTGCAAGACTCAGCACCTCTCCGGAGGAGGCCGTGGTACAAAGGCTGGTGACTTCCGAAGCAGGATCGGGCCCTTCCTGATGAACTCGGGGCCCAGGTGCTGCGCTGGGCCCTCTTGCAGCCTCCCGTTCGTTTGCAGGCACAGCTGAGGGGTGAGGTGCAGGAGCAGAGCTCGGGGGAGTCAGACCAGAAGAGCAAGCAGTGCTGCAGGACACGGCCGAACTGGGGGCAAACCCAGGGCTGGGCTAGCAATGGTTGAGGGGGGGAACCTCAGGACTGGAATAACGGGGGGCTGAGGGTTGGGATTGAGGGGCATCAGCAGAGCTGTGGCAGGGGGGAGGTTTCCCTATATCTTGCCTGTATCGTGTCTGCCCCAATCGGTGCTAATCGTCTTTCATTTTTATGGCCTTAAAATCACCTCGAAATTGCCAGAAAAAAACCTGCCCCAAATTACCCGTTGGGCTTTCTTGGGAGAGTGAAATCAAAGCTGCCCTACGCAGGCGTCACCCAGAACTCGGAGACGCTCCAGCGCGACCAGTCAGGCCGTGGTGACAAGGCTGCTGCCCTGCCCACACATCAGGGACCGGAGTTCCTGGCCTGTCGGGCTGGCCTGGGAGCCAGCTCACGGCTAACTCTGTCACCCCACTGCAGAGCCGTTCAGGAGCAGGGCCGCTGGGAGGGGCAGGTCTCCATCCCACCGGGGGCTGACAGCAGCTGGCATTGGTGCCGATGTCTGAACGCACAACGGGCTGCGTAGCAAATCATGGGCAAAGCTTCGGGGAGGCGCAGGGCAGCATCGTTGTTTGTAATCATGTGTGTTATGCATCCGTCCCCCATCGTGCCAAAGCACTTAACACACATTACACACAAAGGATGCCCATGGATCACGTCACCACCACAATGCAGTCACCTCTGGGGTGGGGCTCAGCTGCTGTCCCACAGCGCACAGCAACACTACGAGGCAGGAGAATACTGGCCGGGCGGGATGCAATGCCCAGTGCAGCTCCCTGAGTTGGAGTCTGGCCAGGGCACGGGAGTCAACGCCCCTACCGATGCACACAGGGCAAACAGAGCTTCTCTTCTGAACGACTGAGCAATACCGCGCCCCATGTGCGGGCACTGGTTTAATATCGACTCAGAGGGCAGAGCGCCCCCTACTGAGTCACCCACACAGCACCCCCTAGCCTCTTAGTGAGGTACTGACTGGCTCAATACTGACAGAGGGACATGGGCCACCTACTTACCAGCCCCCAGCATTTCCCTTGGAAGGCTTCCAGCCTTCATGCGGCTCAGCTGTAAGAACTGACATGACCAGTACCTGAGCCACAGCTGGCTTGTAACTCCCGTCTCTTCTCTGCTGACCTCACCTCCTTCCCCACCCCCGGGAGAGGAGTGGACAGGATGGCGCTTTGGCTCCCATGTTGTTCCTGGGTTGATTGTCACTTTGGGTGGAGTTTCTCCCCCCCGCCCCCGAATCTCTCATGATGCTGGGCGGGGAGGAAAAACAAAGATGCCAGATAAAAAGCCGGGCTGGGCAAGATGGGTTTGGTCGATGAGGCCAGGAAGGGCGGGGAGATGTTTGGAGAGGGTGGGGCTACCCGCCGGGGGAATCTATTTTCTGCTCACTGGGATGTGCTTTTCTGTGTTAGCTCATCAGCTTTTGTCCAAGGATGCAACAACAAACCACCAGCAGGTCGCTCAGTGCTCCCGCCCCGCAAAAACTCTCGCTCTGTGAAACGTAGACACGGACCATAGGGAAGAAACAGACCTAGGGGGTTGGCCTGAGCCCACAGCTCTCTGCGGTACCACTACTGCCATTCCTTAATGATGATGATATTAACTCTATAGCAGCCAGCACCGTACACCGCGTACAGACAGGTCCCTGCCCCCAAGATCGCACAGTCTAGAGGCCCCATGCTCAGCTAGCGTAAATCAGCGTCAGTGGGGCAACACTGACATACACCGGTTAAAGCGCTCGCCTTCTAGTCGCCATTTACGTCGGCTTTGTCCCCATTGTCCTGAGCAAGGACTCTCCAGCTGGGGTGAAGCTGGGGCAGGGATCCCAGACGTCCTGATATTAGGGGCTTTCTCTTAGATATGTAACTATACCTCCCCTTCACCTGTGAAAAAAGTGTTCTGGTTTTTCACACTTGCTACCGGGTCCCCCTAAGCTAGGGCACTTCCTCGGAGGTAAATATTACAGAGCCTGCAGAGGAACCTAGGGCAATGAACTGTGTTGAAGCAGCACCGCCCTCTGCTGGAGGGAATCAGAGCTGCTTAGCCGTGTGTCAGATCTTCTATACTGAGCGGAGATTCTCCTTGAGCTCAAGTAGCTTTAACCAGGGCTTTTAAAGCAAGGAACCTGGGTCCTGCCCTAGTATTGCTATGAAGTTATCAGTGGCCCTGGTGTCAACTATGAAGCTCCTAGACAGCTCGGGGTTTGCTCTAATGTTCTGTGGCGTGACTGCGCCTGAAAAGCAGGTTGAAAGCTCAGCGGCTCTGAGTTTAGCGGGAGGAAAATGAAAGCCGAGGGCCAAGAGGGAGAGGGACAAACACAAGCATGCAGAGGGAAACCAAAGGCTTAGCTGAGACAGAGACCGTTTAAGCTGGAAATTTAAGGCCAGGAAAGTCAGGGATGGATGTGGGGACCCCCAGGGCAGATTGGGAGGAGAGCAAGAGATGTTTTTACAGAGGAGAGACCTGTAAGAAAAGAGGGTTATGACCATGGAAGACTTTAATTCCTCAGCTCTTGACTAGGAAAACATCTATTGTCTGCTCAAAGCCGACCAGGTGTCTGGAGATATCAGAGCAAGGCAGGATAGTTGCTTCTCTAATGCAGTTTGTCAAGCAGCCAGGCAGAGGCTCTTTGGAGGAAATGAACCAAGCAGAAGGAAGGCAGAAGCTGGGCGAATAGATGAGCTGGAGATGGTACAACAAGAGGGGAAATCTTGTGGTTAAGACACAAAACCAGCCCGCTGTGTGACCCTGGGCAAGTAGCACCACTGTTCTGTGCCTCAGTTTCCCCATCGGTAGAAGGCGGACAGTTCTAGCTGTTTAGCTGGCCACCATGACTATAGCATCTCACAGGCATTAACAGTAGGTAAGAATGATTGTTCCCATTTTATAGCTAACACGACCACCCGGCTCTTCTCTAGCGCTATTCATCGGTAGGTCTCAAAGGAGGGCAGTATCATGAGCCCCATTTTACAGATGAGGAACCTGAGGCCCAGGGAGATTAAGTGACTCACCCAAGGTCATACAGGGAGTCTGGGGCAGAGCCAAAAATCACATCTAGGTCTCCCAAGTCCCAGGCCAGTACATCCACCACACGACCATCCAGCCCCAGTGAGGCTGGGCGGACAAGCACAGCAATGCTCTAACCTGCTCTGAGCTCATCTGCGAGAGAGGGACATTATTACGAACTCCTGGTACAGATGAGAAGGAGCCTGGCTGAGCGGCTGGGCAGAAGGCATGACGGAGCGGAGAGCTCTGGACAAACTCCTCCGTCACGCGATGGACCCTGGCGCTCCCTGTCAAATGACACCTTCTGGTCAGGCCAGAGGCCTGCGTCTGGCTGGTTTCTACTGACAGCAGCTGCCTTGCAGCACAAACCCTCCCTGGTTCCAGCACAAAGACAGGGCTGACACTCAGCACGTGTGGTCCCTCGTGCCAACGTGGGCTAGTGTCCTGTGGGCTGAGTGGCACCCCATGCTGTGGAGACGATAGTCATGCCGCTGGCACTCATTGAGTCGATCTGACTTGTGGCCCAGCGCCTCGAAGGGATTCAGGTGCCGAACTCCCATTGACATCAGTGCTGCTGCCCCAGCCGAGGATGGGCTGCAGGACACAGACAGACCCTGTGGTTCTCGCAGCATCAGCGCTGGATTAACACGGCCTGTGCTGCCTAGTGTCCCTGGCCAAAGCACCCCAGGACTGGAGCGCAGCCTCCGTCGCAGCTGGCCACAGCATTGCGTTCTCGGCGCAAAGAGGACAGTCCTGGCTGGGGGACTCTGTTTACCCACAGAGAAGATCCAGCAGGCCAGTGGCAGGGCAGGGTCACTGCTGTCTTCTGCCTGACACGGAGGGGCGGCCTCTGGGAGTGGGAAGGGCCGAGTCAGCCCATGCCTCTCTGTTGGGACGGCCAGCAAGGTGGCCAGTTAGTGCTGTAGACCCTGGGCCCACTGGGCTGAGACCGGCCAGCTCGTTCCACCGCAGAGCCGTGATGCACACATCCAGCTTGCACCTCTTGGCAGGTGATGAGGGAGAGGCCATGCGGGATGCAGGGCAGATGTGCTCTGCTTTTCTGCATGCCGCACTAGGGGAAGGAAGGGGTGGCCCAAATTGCAGAGCTCCATGTGATTAGTGACCTCAGTGTCTGGCCCTGCCGCAGTGCCTGAGGACAGACCAGATTCTCTTCTCAGCTACACAGGACTGCCGTGGAGCCAGGGCTGGATTCGGTTCCCAGTCATCCTGGGGTAAATCCGGAATCACCCACTGACTGCCACGGGCTTGGAGCCAGAGTCTGATCTCCGCTACTCTAGTGTAAATCCAGCCTCACCCTGCTGACGTCAGTGTGCGTCTCTCTAATGCTCAGGCTCGTCTCCGGGATCGCGACGCGATGGCGCGGCCGGGGATTTACGCTGAGCTGATCTGGCGAGCTGGACCTGTCAAAGGCCAGGCACACTCCGCTTGCTAGGAGTTCAGGGTCGTGGATCTGACTTGGAACATCCAGGAAGCTGCAAAGGCCGTCCGGGAAGCCAAACCAGACAGCGTCACCTCAATAAAGTCCCGAGTGAACGG